GCCCACCTCCAGCCATCATCCTACTCTCCCTACTTCAGTGACTGTCACTCTTGTGGCCCAGTTTCCAAAGCAGAATAAAAAAGACTTTGAATAGTTCATAAACTCTTGTAGGACAATATTTCTTATTTTCTGAGGTTGAAAACACTGGAGGAGAATCGTGTTTTTCCTGGAGGAGAATCGTGTTTTTCAAGGACCATTATTAGTTCAGTTTGAATGTTATCAACTGGAGATACCTGTGAGAGAGCCGATTGGGTGTGGTGAGTAGTTTAGTGGATACACATTGGGTGGCTGACTGATTATTTCTTTGGTAACTTGGAGGCGTCCATGTGGCCGAGGTACATCCAGTTCACCTGGGGTTCCTGGGGACTTCCAGATCGTGCCAACAATAGAGGTTCACAAACCTCACTTTGAGGAGCAAACTTTAGGAGACTGAAAACCATGCAGGTCATTTCAATTTAATGTGTCAATTGTTACAATAATAAGGAAGCTACGTTAACAGAGTTCAACATACGGATTAAGGCAAAACCATGGAGATTTTTCACTGGCAGACCAGTGTGTTCTTGATTCTGAGAAGTATATAGAACCATGAAAGGATTTGAACAGAGGATAACATGCTCAACTGCAAAATGCTTGAAAGTCAGCCATGACTGAAAGCCAACCATGTGTCAATTTCTGTCTCAACAGGGGAGATAATGCAGTGAGGGTGAACAAGGAAATCCAGGACCCTGTCCTCAGGGAGGGGACATGCTGGAGGGGTTAGACAGGTCATAGTAAGAAAACAAATGAACAAGGAAATTTTAGATTGTGGACGTGCTATAAAGAAAAAAAAAGGGTTCATGTAGTTGAGGCTGCGGTCACTACTCTAGTGGAAGCAGCTCTTCAGCCAAGTGCTAAGCATGCAACGGAGCCAGTCCTGCAAGGATCTGGGGGAAGAGCACTCTGGGCAGAGGGAACAGCAGGGTGGTGGCCTTGAGGGAGGAGTGAGCAGTGAGGCAAGAGGATCAATCAAGTCAGTGCAACTGGAGGCTAGTGAGAAGAGGGAAAGGGTCTGAGATGGGGTCAGGAAGATAAATGGGGGAAGGAAAGCTAAGTAGTGTAAGAGCTTTGAAAGCTGTGATCAAGAATTTGCATTTCATTTTAACATGGGAATGAAATAATCCAATTTTTTAAAGATAACTTTTGCTACTGGGTGGAGATTGTATTGTTGGTATGTTTTCAAGGTTGAGTAGAGCGTGGATTCCTTGGACATGCTCAGAACTGTACTTCAGAAAGATGAATCTGTCAGCGACATATAATATAGCTCAGAGAAGAGAGAGATGCTCTTCAGAAATGTGCACAGTTAAGGAGAGCATGAACTGAGGACATCAGACATTCAAATGAGGCTACAGGAGGTGAGATGAGAGATTCACGTAGTACTCGACACTCTTAAGCTAGGACTTTCTCGTTGACTACCTCATTTAATCGTCTCTACAGCCCCACAATGCTGGTTACAAAAGTCAGCTTCTGAGGTTTTAACCCAGGCCTGTTGAAAGAGAGATCCAGGGACATCTGGTTGTCAGTTCCTAAGTGTTTCAGGTGATTTTAAATTCAGGAGAGGTTGAATTACGGTGCCCCACCTCCTTCTGTCAAAAGGAATGAAGATGCTTACCGGTTTTTAAGTACAGTAGCTCTCCCTAAACCTTCGAGTCTTTCTTTAAACTCTGCTGAGTAACTTACAACCTAAGTAGTGAGATTTCAGGAATTCCGGGATGAACGCGCCTGGAAAGTACCAGCGAGCAGGACGAAGGAGTCTGCTCCTGAAGGGCTTCTGCTGCTTGCTGGGGTGGATGTGAAATGCCGCTGGGGTTGTAAGGTAAAGGCGAACGCTGCTGCAGTGCCTTCAGCTGCAATCCTCATTTGTATTTCAATGTAAATGAGTTTCAGATCCCTCTTGAGAGGAAATTTTGGCTGGGAAACTATGGACGGTTCTGGGCCCAGAGTTGGGGGCAAAAGACTTGGGGAGTAGAATGGGGAAGGGGAGGGAGGTGGCACAAGGGCACTGAACTTCACTTCCTCCCCATGTGTGCTCGGAGCCAGGAAGCAACCACCCACCCCCTTCCTGAGCACAGGGCTCCTAAAATGCTCAATAAAGAAGAAGAAACAAAAACTGGTTTTATAAGTTTGCATTATCTGTGCTTGATTAGATTCTCATGTGAACTGTGCACCTGGATGGTTACCTTACAATATGCATCTCTTGCAGGGAGGGTAGAGCTCAGTGGTAGACTGCATGCCTAGCATGCATGAGGTCCTGGGTTCAATCCCCAGTACCTCCACTAAAAATAATAAACAAACAAACTTATTTCCCTCCTCCCCCAAATATGCATTTCTTTAAAAGGGAAACTCTGATCTGCATTTTGACCACTTTCCCTTCGTGTTGCTGTTGGGCTGGGTTCAGCCATCTCCAAACTGGAAAAGGTTTCATGGACACAGGGGAGTGATAAGGTAGAGTAGGGAGTATTGTGCACTTGACATTCGATTTCACAGAAACCGGGGGATGACGGAAGTGGAAGGAAGGAAAGTCATCACTCACTGAGCGCTAGCCGTGTGCCCAGGTCTGCTTGGACACATCTCTCGAAGGTTCTCTCAGAGGCTCCTAATTTTCCTCTGGTTCTCCTCAGAATCTCCAGTATCAGAGATCAGCCCAAATGGTGAACACACCTCCTGCGAGGTCGTTTATCTGAGTATTAGTAATAACTAATGTTTATCGAGCATGTGACACACGCCAGGGGCTCTACAGGAATTCCGTCATTCAGTACTCTCGGCACCTTAAGTGATGGTTCTCATTCATATACTCATTTCCAGATAAAATAACTGAACCCTAGAGATTGTAAGTGACTTGTCCAGAATCAACAGTGCCGTGATTCAAACTCAGGCCACCAGATTCTTGAGATCACCTGTTTAGCCATTATGGGGTATCACCTTTTAATGAGACAGGAAAGGCACAAAATTGCACCTACTCTGGGTATAATTTCCCCCTAAGTTTATGTCTGAGGTCTTCAGGTTCCTTAATTTTTGCCTCCATTTTCTCCTTAAAGGCATCTTCTCTTCACCTAAGTTACCTATAAGCTGTCCTATATTGTAAACCCCACGACCACCACTATCTCTTTCCTGAAAAAAATTATACAGTATAACTTACTCTTTCATACTAATGCTATCTATACCTTTCAGGCATAAATGCATTTTGGGACTTTTTAATCTCTAACTACTAAAGAGAGTAGTTTTTTTTTTTCCTTCTGAGAATTTTCAGCTATCAACTCCGTGATAAAGGATCCATTTGTTTCCTGACTATGGCTTTGGGCTGTCTTGGGCTGGAGACAGGCTGGAATGGCCATGTGTAAGAACTTTCGCTCAAGGGTTTCCTGCTTCTTTGGAGAGGGCGAGCTCCAGAACCAACTACCAGAAGTGTTCGCTGGGCGATGTGAGATGTAGGAACAAGTGTCCTGGCCTCAGTATCTTCTTGGACCTGTGATTCTGAGGCATTGAGCCTACTGTACCAGAGCATTCAATCATTCAGTCATCCAGTAAGCATGGCTGCTTTGATTGGCACTGGGGATGATCTGATAACCGAGAAAGACATTGATCCTATTGCCACAGAGCTCACAACACAGAGTAGGAGACAAACATTAAATAAGAAACTTCAGTGAGAAATGGGCATTGGCCTTTTTCCTTCCTTACTCCATTGACATTGTAATTTTTCTCCCATCCTTTTGCCCCAGGGCTCCCAGATGCCATGTATCTAGAACCTTCCTTCCTCCCTTGTGCTAATATCCCATCTTGGACCTTATCTCACTTCTACCTGCGATTGTTATGTTTGGTCCTGGTCACTGCCAGCAAGAAAACCTGTGGCTTATAGCCCATTTTTCTCTGCCATCAGTGTTTTGGTCATTCCAAACACACAGGATTAGGAACAGTGACAAGAAAGGGAAGAGCTGATGATCAACTTCAGAGTATCCATCAATTAATTAATTCATTTATTCAGCAAGCATGACATAGCTGGTATCTGCCAGGAATTGAGGTATAGAAAGGAAAAACACAGTTTCTGCAGAGTAAAAAGACTAAATTTTCAAAAGCAAGAACCCCATCTCTCTTCTTCATGATTCTATCCCAAATATTTATCTCCTTAGCATAAGGCAGGAACTCAATTAATATTTGTGAAATAAAAGAATGAATTTATATTTTGACTGAAAAGACAGATATATAAAGAATCTTGATAAAGTGGGATGACCATTCATTCAATAAATATTGATTGAGTATGTCCTAAGTGCTACGCGTACTATGTCAAACAAGACAGATGCAGTCTTACCCTTATGAACTTTACGGTTAAAATTTTGCACAAATAAGTATCAGAGTTGTGATACATAATGTGAAGAATTGTAGGGTCTAGAGAGTATAAAACATGCTACCTGGCATAAAACATAAAAACATGATACCAAAACATAAAACATGATACCTGGATCATAAGAAAGCCCTGTAGCTCAGTAAAGCTCAAATTACTTTTGAAAAACTGTAAGTCTGATATGGCTGAAACATTTTGAGTAGGGGTATGGGGAGAGTGGAAAGAAACAAGGTTAGAAAGAAAGCAGAGATTGGATCTCCAGGGTGTGGATGGCAAGTTAAGGAGTCAGGGCTTATCTCAAGAGCAGTGAGAAGCTTTTCTAAGATTTTAAGCAAGAGCAATGCACAGTGAGTTTTAGTTTTGAGAAAATCACCCTGCTTTGAGATATAGAATGGGATATCAAAATGGACAGTAGGAGACCAATTAGGGTGCTACTGCAGTAATCTAGGTACGAGATGACATTGACTTGAACTAGGAGGGTGACACTGGAGACAGAAAAAAAGTGGATGGATCCAAAATATATCTTGGCTGTAGAATCAACAGGCCATGATCATTGGATTGTGGGTGGGGTGGTGGTGACAGTAAGGGAGAGGGATTGTCAAACACACTTCCTATCAATCCCATAAATGTGGGTGTCATTTTCTGAGACTGAAAATACTGGAGGAGAATCATGGTTTTTGGAGGAACATTACTAGTTAGATTTCGGATACTATCACCTTGAGACACTTGTGAGCGATCCAAATGGAAATATTGAATAGTTTAACTGATAGACATTGTGTGACTGCCCGGCCCAACGTTATTCCTCTAGTAACTATGAAGTGCGCATGTGACCCAATCTGAATCAATCACAATATCTTGACTCCCAGGCTACAGTGACTGATTCATAGAAAATTTTGTGAGCCTCAATGGACCAATCAAATTCCTTCTCTCAGTCTGAGTGGAGAGAAGAGGGATTTTTTTACACTCTGGTTGTAGAGCTGTGAGGGTTTATGTTCAGAGCTGTTAATGATTATGTCCCCTCGAAGGGGATTATGTGGGTTTGAAAGAATGATGATAACATGCAGAGAGAGAGGAGTCAGAGAGAAAGAGTCCTGAGAGTAACGGAGTTCTCTTGCTTCTGCCCCTGGTTTGGTTACATGAGTTAAGAGTCTCTGTCTATCTGCTAATCTCTCTAGTTTTCTCTCTCTCTCTCTCTTTCTGTTTCTTTGTCTATCTGTCTCCCTTTCTGTTTTATCTGAAGCTAGTCGTGAGTGGGATTTTATCACTTATAACCATGACAGTGCTAGTGATGTAAGTAAATGGTTGGATTGACAAGCTAGAACTCGTAAGGTGTCATCTTGCCTGAAGACATTTTGTTGAGACTTTATAGAATCTGAAGACAGGAAGTGGACAGGTTCACCAAGAAAGAAAGGAAAGAGAGAGAAGAGTACTGACGTCTAAGCTCTGAGGAACTCTAACACTAAAGACCCAGGAGAGGCAGATGAACTCCCAAGGAGGCTGAGAGACACGCCCCAAGTCATCAGAGGCAACCAGTAGACGGTGGTATCCCAGAGGCCAAGGGTGTTTAAAAGAGGTGGTGATCAACTATGTAGAATGTCCCAGGGAGGACAAGTATGATAAGAAGTGAAAAGCAGCCGTGGGATTGGGCAGCATAGAGGTCACTGGTGCCTTTACCAAGAATAAGCTCAGTGAAATGGAGGGGCCAGAAACCAGCTGCAGTGGACTGAGGAGGAAACAGAGGTGAGGAAGAAAAGCCTGAAACAGTTCTTTTGAGAATCATAGCTGCAAAGGGGAGGAAATGGGTAGGATGTCACTAGAGAGGAAGATCAGAGAGGGATATTGTTTACCTTTATTTTTCTCTTTAAAGATGAGAGGCACTAAAACAAAATTATATTTAAAGATCTATTAAAGCACAGAGGAGAAAGCAGGTAACTGCTTGGGTTAGTAGGAAAAGGTTTCCCCAAGGAGATAATGTTGAGCTGGGTCTTAAAGAGGAAGTAAAACTTTTCCAAAGGAAGAAGGTACTGCATGCAAAAGGAGACTGTAAACCAACACACATGGTGTGTTTAAAGAGAGGTCAATAACTTAGCTTATGGAAAATTTTAGTCCTGAATTCTGCTCAGAAGAAAGGGAAACCCATTGAAGATCTTTCTCTACCTTTTATCTTTGCTCTCAATTTCGTCTTTAAAATAATGTTAGGCCAGGTTATCTTTAAAATTTGTTCCAACAGTAAAATCGACAGCTAATGATCGGTCTTGAATGTTTTGTTAGACTGATAGCAGTACGCCCCCAAATGCGTAGCCCATCACAGCGGTTTCCTGAAATTATGCTTTACATTGTGTGGTGAGAGGCTTCCAGGAGGCTGGAGGCTCAGCCTAAAGTGGTCTACGTAGAGAGAAAACAATTATGAAATGTTTCAGAAGTCTGCTGTGTTTTACCTTACAAGTTCATGTGCATCCTATTCCTTAATATATTTGATGTGACTATTGCTAAGGATGCCCAGGAAGATAGGCCAGTAACATCCTTTAGACTTAAATATTTCCACATAGTTACCTGCGTAAGCTCCGAGCAAGGCTGAGTGTCCCTGGCTGGCTTCTATTTCCTAGTCTTTTTTCACTTGCCTGCTCCCTGCCAGCTTCATAGAGGCAGAGTCTGAGTGCCAGCTCTCTGCACAAGTGAAATATGACGGAACCTGGGGATAGAGAGGAAGGGAGCTTTAAGGGTAGCTTAACTGAGTTAACTGCTCTTTATAAATGCCCTGGGCCAGAGGGAATCAAGTAATTGCATTATGAGCCTTAGCATCTTAGCTACTCACATATCATATTATTCACATCCACTTGGGTGTATGAATTTTCTTTACAGAAGAATATGAGATATAAAAGCCGCATAAAATTGCCTGAAAGAAAAAAAAACACACATTAATTGGATTCTTGGCAAATGACTGAAAAAATGTCCCAGAACTGATGAAGCAAGTTATTTTTAGACAACTTTGCCCTAAAATATGTTGGTGCCTCTGTGAATGAGTTCATAACACATGCTAAAAACTCCTTGGCTTGATCCTGCAAGAAAAAAAAATCTCCATTTTTCCTTTTTATTACACAATAAAATAAAATGAGCCGTCTCCCAGTGCCGTCTCTTGGAAGCATTTCTCAACTGAAATTTCCTTTTTTCTGCTTCCATCTTCATGTTTGTCTTCATATGAGCCCTCCTCTTTTTTTTTATATGCCCTACTTTTGTAACCTAAAGACATTGATAGAAATGTAAGTTCTTTCCACCATTCATTTAGTATTTTCATTGTCCCTGTTTTTAACCCATGAGCTCACCCTTATGATTCATCAGATTTCTAACGAAAAAGCTGAGGACTAACGCTTTATATGGCATTGCAAGGCAAGGATTAAGCCACTGGTAGTTACAGAGATCTGACGCTGTGATAAGAGATGGGCCAGTGATTAGAAGACCTCACCTACTTGGTCTTAAAATGGAATTAGTCCAGATGGTGCCAATGGGAATTAAGGGACTGCATGGTCCCAGAGCAAACACAATGCCTGTCTTTTGGATGCTCTTAATCTCAGAGGAAAGAGGGAAACAGGGCTTTCTGAGGCCTGGCCACACATTCCCCAGTGATTATAGGACCAAATACTCATGATTCAAAGTGACTGGTTATCAGATACTAGAAACATCTTCTAAATCATTAAAGGATTTAAAGGTCTGCTTGATGGTCCCATGGTATTGAAATTAATGAGTTTTAAAGTCATTCATTATTTCTGAGGTTGCATCTACAGAGGTTTTCAACAATCTTGGCCATATATGTCATTGGAAGGGAAGACAAATTTACTTCTAGAAAGCAAGACATGGATATAGATATGTTTCCTTAGTGTCTGTTTACTTTTTTTACAGAACCTCTACAGTGTATGTCCTAGACAAATATCAGCAACTCTATGCAAACAGACATACTTACAGTGCTTCCTTCTTTGTGTTTGTAGCAGCCTAGAAGTGGACATCAGAGTTAAAGTAGATCCTTAGCATATGTATTGCTTTTAGGGGCTAGGAAAATCCAGAGCCTTCTGGACTCACATGTTCTTGCCCCTTAAATTATTCCCTATACTTTCTGATGACTGAAGTTACCAATTTCTAGTTTTTGAGTGTAAGCTCAAAACTCTACTAAAATGCACATAGTCTAATTGAAACATTTTTATATCATTATTCATTTCAACTTTAATGTGAATGAAGATTCTGAGAGGCTGTGACTTAAGAGTGGAGAGGAAAGCTGGGTTACTGAGTGATATTGGGTGGTAATGAGGAAAGATTTGCTGAGGGTGGAAAGGAATAAATCCTGACTTTGCTTAATTCAACAGTTGTGCATGGGCTGGCCTTGTTCTCAGTCGTGAAACAAGCACAATTCCTTCAAAAGGAGGAGATGCCAAACTTTTCTGTAACTAGGAATGGGGTACACATTGCCCTGGAACCCAAGGCCAGCTCTCATCTCTGGAGGACCGCTCTGCAGGCATCTCCAATCTCTGTCAATGTGGGCAAATCACAGTGACTTCTTTTCAGAGCTCTGAAGCATTTGTGTCTCTCACGCAATTTTCATGGCTCACTTTCTTGCTGCCGGTTACAGACTGGACTTTCGACGTGGAGCGATGCTTCCTGTCAAGTTTTAGAGTTTGCACACAGAGTTTTCTTTTCTTGTGATGTCTCTGTGTTGCTATCAGGGTAATTCTGGCTTTAGTACAGTGAGCTGGAAAGTGTCCCCTTATCATTTATTTGGGGGGAAGGTTTATGAAGGATAGGTACTCTTCTTTAAACATTTGGTAGAACATATCAGTGATGCCACCGGACCCGAGCTTTTCATTGTGGAAAGTTTTTTGATTACTACATTGCAGAGAAAAAGAAAGCAGATTAGTGGTTGTCTGATGACCACCAGGTAGTGGCTGATTGTCTAGTAACTGCTAAGCGGTGGAGGGTTTCTTTTTAGGGTGATGAAAATATTCTAAAATTAGATTGTGGTGATGGTTGCACAACTGTGTGGAAATACTGAAAACACTGAATTGTTCACTTTGAGTGAACTCCATGGTATGGGAATTATATTTTAGTAAAGCTGTTTAAGAAACAGGCATTGATTCTTCTCATCATCTCGAGTCTTTGTTTTCAGTATATTTTTAATTTCTGCTTTTTTTTCTCCTTTTTAATTTCTTTAGGTTTGCTCTTTTTTTCTAGCTTATTAAGTTGCAAGTTTATTCATTTTCAATTTTTAATTAGTTTACTTAAAGTTATATATTAAAAACATTTTAGCTACATCTAACAATCTTTAAAGTAATACATTTATTCTGTTGTAAATATTTTGTAATTGTCATACATTTCTATGTCGCTAAAATTATAGCTTCCAAATACATAAAATATATGAACATTCTGCAATGTCTACTGTGATTTGTTTTTCCCTATGACTTAGAAGCACATGTGTTTTTTAAATATGTGTTCATAGGGGAAGGGTATAGCTCAGTGATAAAGAGCATGCCTGGCATGCAAAGGTTCTGGGTTCAATCCCTAGTATCTCCATTAATTAAATAAATAATTAAATCTAATTACCCTCTCCCACCAAAACAAGAAGAAACAAACAAAAAATATGTTTGTGTTTACTACTGCTTGATGGGCTTATTGTTATTATTATGTAGTGCCCATATTTATTATTATTAATGTGTTATTCCTGAAATTCTATTTTGTCTAATATTGATAGTTACACAAAATTTCTTTGGTTATTAATTGAATGGTCCCACTTTTCCTACAACTTTCAACCTTTCTCTGTGATTGTGTTTTCGATTTTGTTTAGCATTTCTTATAAACCACAGATAGCTGGGTTAAAAAAAATCAATCTGTTAATCTCTGTCATTTAGCAGGAAAGTTTATTCTGTTTTCAGTTGTAATCACTGATATATTTGCACTTATTTCTACTACCTGATTTTTTTTACTACTTATTTTTATTGGATTTAAAAATATATATATACTTCCATGCTTTTTTTGGATAAGGTTGTTGTGTTTCGTTTTTGTTAACTGTTGCTGTTTTTTTTTTAACATTTTTTATTGATTTATAATCATTTTACAATGTTGTGTCAAATTCCAGTGTAGAGCACAATTTTTCAGTTATACATGAACATATATATATTCATTGTCACATTTTTTTTTCTCTATGAGCTACCATAAGATCTTGTATACATTTCCTTGTGCTATACAGTATAATCTTGTTTATCTGTTCTACAATTTTGAAATCCCAGTCTGTACCTTCCCATCTTCTGCCCTGTTGCTGGTATTTTTAAAATATTATCCACATGTCTTTTCTCTCTGTGGTTTGGAAGCATTTCTATTATGTTAATTTTATTATTTCTATTATTTTAATTATCATATCCAACTTTGGACTATAATATTTTTTCCAAAGTCTAAATTTATTCAAGAAACTTTGGAAGGTTACACATTCCCTGGGCATATTTAACTACTTATTAAACAACCGCTTCCTGGAGTTTTCAGAGTTTTCTCCCAAATTGCTAAAATAGCTTTTTAAATAGTTGATACTATATTAAATTAATCAACATGTTTTGTTAATAATACGTTCACCATTATTTTCTTGTATCCCATGCCCTCTCTCTAGGTCCAGTTTTTTAACCTTAGATACATCCTTTAATATTTACACTCGTGAGCATCAGCTGATGGTAAACTCTCTTGCTCTTTATAAATCTAATAGCACCTTTATTTCTCTTCCTTTTTTAAAAACGATAGTTTGTCGGGGTATAAAAGTTTAGACTGAAATAATTTCACTTAGCATTTTGAGGACATTACTCTTTTATCTCCTAGTATCTACTGTTGCTGTCAGTCTGTCAGTCCTTTGTAAGTACTCTGTCTTTTTACACTTTTTAACTTCTTTTCAATCTTTTTAAAAAGATTCCCCCCCCCTTTGTTCTGTATGATTTGCAGTCTCATTATATTTGTTACCTTGTGGTAATTGATATTTATTTATCCCTCTGGGTCCTTAGACTTAATTTTTACTCTGAGGATGTACTTTTTCAGTTCTAGAAAAACATTAGCAAATACCTCTTCAAATATTGCTTTTTTACCTTTCTGGAAAATTCTGTTAAATAAATACATTAGGTATTTCCATTTATCCTCTAAAATCTTTAACTTTCTGTCATGTTTTTCTTTCTCTGTCTTTTTGTGATGCAGTCTAGTAAAATCCTCAGAGCTATCTTCCAGCTCCCTCGTTCTGTACTGTCTAGTTGCTATCAAAACTTTTTTCAACAAATATGGTTTTCATGTCTAAATTTTTTACACTGTTTCTTTTAGATATACCTATTTTATTTAATTTATTCTTGCTTTTGCTTGCCAATTCTGTTCTATTTTTAGTGGTTGTTAAATTTTTTCACTTATTATCACCCCAAGGGTCTCTGTCGGGTTATTCTTGTACTTTAATTTTTCTTGGCTAACATGTATTCTTCTTGGTGATTTATGTTGGCTCTCTGTCTTAGCATTACTTTGTTTTGGGTATCATGGTTTCTAGGCTCATTCTGAGACGGAATTAATTTTTTCTTTTTGGTTTTTTCCTTCTCTGCATATCCCTCTCTCTCTAGTCATTTTTATGATTGCCTCCATCTGGCTTCTTGGGGCTTGTCGACCAAACAAGTCTTACGTTACTGGTCTGGAGCTCACATACCTTAAGGATTATGGCCTCAAGGATTAAGGTTTATGGCAGTCTGGTCATAGAGCCAGCAGTTAGCTCCTTTCAGGTCCTGGAGATGAGGTTGTTTTTATCTTCTACCAATTCAGAGGCAATATTCCCAGGCAACGATTAGCAGAGGTTTTCTCAGCCTTTATATTACTACTCCTATTCTTACTTTTATTATTATTTTCAATAAGGG